CGCTAGTCAATACGGCTTTCATAAGGGTCGTTCTACCATAGACCCCTTACTACGCTTGGATACGTATGTTCGTAATGCCTTTGCGAATAATCACTCAGTTATTGCCATATTTTTTGACCTTGAGAAGGCATATGACACAACTTGGAGGTATAATATTTTGGCCCAGGCCCCTTTCATTAGGCCTCCGAGGCAATCTACCATCCTTCCTTAAGAACTTTTTAACTGACAGACATTTCCGTGTTCGAGTCAAAAATGTTCTTTCCCCAGACTTCGTCCAAGCTGAAGGTGTCCCTCAGGGATGTGTTCTAAGCACAACACTTTTTCTCCTTGCTATAAATGATTTGGCCTCTGTTCTTCCACCCAATATTTGGTCATCACTCTTATGTTGATGACTTCGCTATTGCTTGTGCAGGCGCTGACTGTCATCTTATTGCAGTTTCTCTCCAGCATGCGGTCGACCGTGTTTCCACTTGGGCCACCACGCGTGGGTTTAAATTTTCAAGTACCAAAACTCACCAAATTACTTTCACTAGATGCTCTGTTATCTCCGATCATCCTTTGTATCTCTATGGCTCCCGTATCCCCGAACGTGATAGTCAGGTTTCTAGGCCTTCTCTTTGACCGTAGGTTATCCTGGAAACCTCACATTACCTCTCTGAAGGCAACTTGTCACAGCCGGCTAAACCTTCTTAAAACCCTTGCTCATCTTTCCTGGGGAGCTGATCGTTGAACTCTGCTTCGCCTACATTCAGCCCTCGTTTTATCGAAACTCAATTATGGTGACCAGATTTATTCCATGGCCTCTCCTGCTACTCTCGCTAGCCTTAACTCTATCCATCACCAAGGATTACGTTTGTGCCTTGGTGCTTTTCGCTCTTCCCCTGTTGAGAGCCTCTATGCAGAAGCGAATGTTCCATCCTTGTCTGATCGCCGTGATGCCCATTGCCTTCGCTACTATGTACGCTCTCACGATCTCCACAATCCTTCCATTTATAGAATGGTCACCGATATTAGTAGACACTTTATTCGTTCGCCGCCCATTTGCTCCATCCCTTTTCTCTTCGCTTACATTCACTCTTGTCTTCCCTTCAGTTACCACCTTTATATGTTCATGTAGCATCTCACTTTTCCCTACCACCCTGGGAAGTTCCAGCTGTTTGGGTCTGTTCTTTCTCACTCCCTTGCTCGAAAGCTCAACTGCCTACGGCGGCTTCCCGCTCTCTTTTTCTTGATCACTTCCACTCCCATTCTCATGCCACCGTTGTGTACACAGATGGCTTTGAGTCTTCAGACGGCGTCGGATTCGCAGCAGTGTTTCCAGACAGCGTCGTGCGGGGGCATTTACTATCTTCGGCTAGCATTTTTACTGCTGAACTGTATGCCATTCTTGCAGCACTTATTCGTATCGCATCTATGCCTGTGTCATCATTTGTGGTAGTCTCAGACTCCCTTAGTGCTCTACAGGCTATACGAAAATTTGATACATCTCACCCCCTAGTTCTCCGTATCCAACTTTGGCTACGCCGTATCTCTATGAAGCATAAAGATATTATTTTTTGTTGGGTCCCTGGTCATGTCGACGTACAGGGCAATGAACAGGCAGACACTGCTGCGCAGTCAACAGTACATGACCTACCAATTTCCTATAGAGGTGTTCCATTTCTGGACTATTTTGCTACAATAGCTGCCCACCTTCGCGCCCGTTGGCAACAACGTTGGTCAACTCTGCTTGGTAACAAACTTCATTCTATTAAACCGAGCATAGGTTCCTGACCGTCTTCTTGTCATCAGTGCCGTGGTTGGGAGACCACTCTCTCCCGTCTTCGCATTGGCCACACTGTCTTACTCACGGGTATCTCATGGAGAGGCACCCTGTACCTCTCTGTGAGCAGTGTCAAGTTCCAGTATCGATTAGCCACATTCTGTTAGACTGTCCTCTCTATCAACGAGCACGCAGAATTTACCTCCAACGCCGTCTTCGTTCTACTACTCTCTCTTTACCTTCCCTTCTTGCTGATGGACCCTCCTTTAATCCTGACTCTCTCATTGACTTCTTGACAACGACTGATTTACTCCACAAACTCTGATGATGATACCTTACGCACTCCCCTCAGCCCTTTCTAGCTCAGTCTCTTGCTGCCCTTTACCCTTTCACCATCCACTGCTCCACTGTTATCCGTAACCTATTACTCATCCACCTCCCTTTTGCCACTTGATGCCCTCACTTCCTTCCTGCCCTGCAGCGCTGCATAGCCCTTGTGGCTTAGCGCTTCTTTTTGATTATAATAATAATAATCATAAAATATGTATTACTTATTACCAAATCTCTTTCTACACAAAGCTCAATTAAAGGCTCCCCATTTACATTTACCCCTGGCACCCCAAATTTACCTACTACTCCCTCAATAACATTTTTACCCACTTTAGCATTGAAATCCCCAACCACAAGTACTCTCACACTTGGTTCAAAACTCCCCATGCATTCACTCAACATTTCCCAAAATCTCTCTCTCTCGTCTACACTTCTCTCTTCTCCAGGTGCATATACACTTACTATAACCCACTTTTCACATCCAACCTTTATTTTACTCCACATAATCCCTCTTTTCCTGCCATGGCTTATCCTTCAACATTATTGCTACTCCTTCCTTAGCTCTAACTCTATTTGAAACCCCTGACCTAATCCCATTTATTCCTCTCCACTAAAACTCTCCCACCCCCTTCAGCTTTGTTTCACTTAAAGCCAGGACATCCAGCTTCTTCTCATATAATCAAATAAAGTGCTAAACCATTGAAGTCAATATAAAACGGTTCGTCTTACTGTCTAATAATGAAGTGCATCTCTTGGTTAAAAAAATGGTTGATATTCTCCCCATAAAATATCTGTTGGTTGAGAAACAGTTTTATACTATAGTGTAATATGAAAGGAACAAGCTAAACAACTTTTCCATAACATATTTATTTAAAACAGTATAAATACCAAGCTTAGAAAAACTGCCTTTTACCAGAGCCTATTCATTTGAATCACTATAATATAAATATTATAAGAATCATCTAAATACTACACTTCCCAGCTTATCAAATTAAATACAAATTATGATAATCACAATATACTGGTCAAGTATAGTACTACATTATTAGTACAGTACATATAACCATATTATAATCAAATAAAACACTAAACATATAACAAAAGGTATAGGGTGAAACAAGTCAAATTGAAACTTTTGAGAGAGAGTAAAAAAAATAAGTAACAGCTAAATGAAAGGGGGGAATTTCTGGACTACAATAATGGTATGATTATTTGAACATACGAGCCATCCCCTACCCAGGTAGAGTGATCGTGAAGAGGAAACATTCACCATCATCCATTCAATCACTGTCTTGCCACAAGCATGCTGACATCACAGTTCAGATGACCTTTTGAACTGCAACATTCCACCTCTTCTTCAGAGTGCAGGATCTTCCCACCTCCACCTCTCCTACAGAGTGCAGGACCTATGCTTCCCACCACCACCTCTCCTACAGAGTGCAGGACCTATGCTTCCCACCTCCACCTCTCCTACAGAGTGCAGGACCTATGCTTCCCACCACCACCTCTCCTACAGAGTGCAGGACCTATGCTTCCCACCTCCATCTCTCCTACAGAGTGCAGGACCTATGCTTCCCACTGCCACCTCTCCTACAGAATGCAGGACCCATACTTCCCACCTCTAGGTTAACTAGCTTTCCTGAATCTCTTCATAAATGTTACCTTGTTCACAGGAAATATTACTTTGCTCATAGTAATAAATGAAAAATATCCCACACAGGAAACCAGCAGGAAGAACAAGTGGGAGGTCTATGAATATTTTCATTTACTCCAAGAAATGTGTTAGGCAACTGCTTCCAAGATATCTTCATATCACTGTGACATATACTGTGACACCAGTGGACTTTATTGGTGCAGAAAACTTGGCTCACTTGAAATTATCAACTTAACACAGATTAGAGTCCTCATCATGCCACTGAATGTTCATTCATTATATATTTTCAACAACTATATCTTTAGGCAATTCAACATAACCTGTCCGTGTGCTCACTAGTTATATAATATACAATAAGTACATTAATATTGGCATCTCAAGTGATATGCTTACATTTTTAAACAATGGCTGTTCTCCACCAAGGTTATCTAGCAAAAGGGAAAAAACATTCACCATCTTTCATTCAGTTTGTCTTTCATTCACAGGATATACTTACATATCCCATGGATTTCATACACATACAGGTGGTTCCCCAAAATCATGGGGGTTATATTCTTAAGAGATCCTGCAAATCTAAAATCAGCAAATAAGGTAAAATTATGTCTGTATAATAAGTTGTTTCATGTTTGGGCTTCTTGATTTACTCAGAGCATCTTTCAATATTGCTCTAATCCAGTTAAAGCAACACTTTGGGTATAATATAGGTATTAAGCATATTTTCAGTTTTCAAGTCATAGGGTTCCTAGAGTGCCTGGGAAAATAGACGCTAATCAAGTCTAATATGAGGAAGGGAAGATAGGTCCAATTCCTTGGATCAAGACACCCTTATTGATATGAAGACACTTCCTTGATGGGTGTCCATCAGTAAAAGTATTGGATAATAGAATTCCACAAATTATGAAGCTGAGAAAGTGGACCCCTCAAGGAAAGGGTTTCCCTTTATGTTGGTGAGGGGCTCTTGATTTAGGGAATTGGATCTGTGCTCCAGTTCCCCAAATTAAGCCTGAATGCCTTCCACATCCCCCCCCAGGCGCTGTATAATCCTCCGGGTTTAGCGCTTCCCCCTTGATTGTAATAATAATAATGAGAAAGTGGATTGACTGTATAAGTAATATTTAAACTTATAATGTAGAAGTTAAAGTTGTTGAGGCACATAAATCAAGTGTCGCAAGTCAAATACGCCTTCCCGTAAATATAAGGCTATGGTGTCCCCACAGCTATCAAAAATATTTTAAAATGATCATAAAAACTCTGATAGAATGGAAACACTGATACAAGACAATTTTTTTTAAAGATAAGATTGTGTTACCACCTTGTTGCTCTTACAATCTCGTCCTCACTATTGTACTGTTGGCCATTATAAATAATCTGTTAAGAACATAAAGGCAGGGTGATTCAATGTTCAACTTTATTAAAAGAAGTTCATATAAAACAAAAAAAAACATTGTTTAATATAATATACAGTGTTTTAATTTCTACATCTGATAAGCAGTGAAAATACTGTGTGCCAATTGTAGAAAATGGTTAAGACATGTTGAATTCAGTTTTTAATTTATATTTGTGTTAAAGGTACAGTTATGTCAATATTAGAGATGATGCAACTGGGAAGAAAGCAGAGTGCACTGTGCCAGTTGACATAACTTTTATATATAGAATACCCTAACTGGGAGAGAGGTTTACCTTATTAGCCCTTGTTACCTAGTATACAGGATACCCTAATTCCTTAATTTACAAAGCAACTGTGTCCCTGGTATCTTGACTAACAAGCTGTTTGTATAGAAAACAATATACTTTTTAATAATGGTTTTAAAACTTCAACTGGTTCATAGAAGTCCCAGTCATATTTTAAGTTAGAAAGCTGCTCTGTAACCTGGAATCATTAACCCATCATCTCAAAAGTTTTTTCTCTTACAGCTTCTCTTGACCCTTACGTAGTCATGCAAAACTTCTAATTGTTTTTTCTCACAGATATTATGCCTGTTGCTAATCCTTGAACAGAGTACTTTGCTATCTCAATTATGTATTAAACAGAAATTGCAAACCCACCATCTAGTACACTTCCTGTAAATTTTACCTCAAGAGGCATGTGACTGTATTTTTAGACACTCTTCTGATACTTTCATATTTTTGAGAATTAATACGTAGCAAAGCACATCTTCCACAGCAGCACATTATCTCACCTGCTTCTAAACTAAATGTAAAGTATGTTTAACTCAAGTGATAATAATGTCATTCATTCATTCAATAATAACAAATGTCTTCTATTCAGCCATGTTCACCATTCTTTATGTTATATTCATATAGTGTACCCAGTTTCCTCACACAGACATTAACTCATAACTTGCCCTTCTTGCTGGGCTCCCTCTTCTCTTGCCTTCAGTTTATCCCAACACACTTTCTTCCAACTGTTTACAAAACTAAACAAAGAAATGTCGAAAGAATTTTAAGAATGGGAACTAGTACATAATTATAATAACGTAATGAAGAACCAAGAATTCGCCATAAGAGTAAGCAGAAACATAGTATATGACAAGAGCAACAGTTGGTACCCCTATTGTGATGATTGATGAAGCAACCACTATCTCATCATAAATAATGTGTCAGAATTAATGCTCCATTTTCTTGTGTGCTTAATAGTCTCTAATGCCTCATTCTTCTTGCTTATTTTTACCCTTTTTCTTCTTCTTGTTAGCTTCTTCATCAATTGGTGCTGGATACTTGAAAGGAATAAACTCCTTCATATCTGAGAAACATGAATAATTACAATCACTTTGTTTAAATGTAAATAAAGATAATGTACTAGTATAATTCTCTCTCTTATTAAACAATGGTAATATTATCATTAGTTACTCTAATATAGTTATTAAATATTTTATAATTAATATGTGCATATGAGGACTACTGTATATAGACATACCACTGGGCATGTACTCTCTGAGAGCAGCTGGTACAGTGATACCATCATCAGTCTGGTAGTTCTCCAGCAGTGCACATATCACTCGTGTGGTGGCACACATGGTAGCATTCAACATGTGCACATATTCAACCTAAGAGCAGACAAACAAATACAAAAATATTTTAGAGGATCTTTGAAATCGTGATATCTATACACCTCTTAATAAGACAGCTGTTGGCTGGGTGATGGGAAATGTGTTTACTTCTATGGACCAAACTACACTGTTGTAAGTTGGTGGGGAAAATATGCTAAAAAAAAAAAAATGAAAAACCTTTATTACAGATTGATATCAATATATTGCACAAAGATACAGTACCGGGCCGCGGGGGCGTTGACCCCCGGAACTCTCTCCAGATAAACTCCAGATAAACACTTACACAGAAAATAATACAAGTAAAGAGAGGAGAACTACATGGTGCTGATTTTGCAGCAAAATGTATTATTAGTTGTATTCAAGTGTTTTACTGAAGAAATTTATTACAATAAATATACAAGACATAGGGACCATAGCCTCTGAGAAAGTAAATTAACAAAGGCTTCGAGGTAAAATGTTTGGATTTCTCCCAGAGGCTGTCTGACTATTCCACTTCTTCCATCACCCCAGCTTTTATAAACAAACAAACAGGTATGTTATTGTGAATAAATGAAAAAATATTTTATAATTAAAACTTCACATTACATGTAATTTTATCCTCTACACTGCAGATATTTTAGCTCTAGTCATCCTGACATCTAATGCTGAGGGCTGTAATATTCTGTTACACCATCAGTGTCGTGGTGACCAGACATACTGTCGCACCATCAGTGTCGTGGTGCCCAGACATACTGTCACACCATCAGTGTCATGGTGACCAGACATACTGTCACACCATCAGTGTCGAGGTGCCCAGACATACTGTCACACCATCAGTGTCATGGTGACCAGACATACTGTCACACCATCAGTGTCGAGGTGACCAGACATACTGTCGCACCATCAGTGTCGTGGTGCCCAGACATACTGTCACACCATCAGTGTCGTGGTAACCAAACATACTCTCACACCATCAGTGTCATGGTGACCACAGATACTCTGTTATGAGCCTATATAGGAAGAAAAATTTGGTACCAGCAGATTTTAGCTCATATTCTGAAGTTGGTTCAATTGATGTCTATTAAGACTGAGAATTTAGTGAAGCACATTCATGAGAAACCCTACATCCTACCCATACACAATGTTGAAGAAAAACTTACAGCAGTGTTCATCTTCTTGGTTGTTCCATAGCGAACCTTGAGCCTCCTGGACTGATAGTCGAGACAATTGGAGCACGAGACCAGTTCACGATAGGCACCTGAAACAATTTTCACTTTAGCAACCTTAATGAGTGAAACTTTGTTTCTGTGATTTAATATGTGGAATAATCTGAACATAATATAGCCTTGATGAGTGAAACTGCTTCTGTGATATAATATGCAGAATACTCTGAAGATAGTGTAATATTCATGAGTGCAAATTTGGTTCTGTAATATAACATGTGGAATAATCTGAACATAGTGTAACCATGATGAGTGAGACTGTTTATGTTACATAACATGTGGAATAACCTGAATATTATAAAAAAAAGTGAAATATTACTTTGGTTACCTTCTACATATTAGTTTGTTACAACGATACAATAAAAGTGATATAAACTATACTTTTTCTGTTAATAACAATGTTACAATCATGAGTAGAGTTAACTGTATATGTTGTGTGTGCCATGACTGGCTGATGACTGTGATATGCTCATAACGTCATACCCTAAAATAAAGAGTAATGTGAAATTTTTTCAAAGTTTGTATTGTATAGGGATTATGACAGAAATTTGTATGGTATAGGAAATATGACAATTTTGTATGGTATGTGAATTACGACTAAATTTTGTATTTTACTTTTTCTGCTGTCTTTGTATCACATTCATTTGTTTTTATGTGATCATTTGGTGCATGTGTGTGTGTGTGTAATAATTTGCTTTATGTACCCAGGGCCAGGAATATATTTATTGTACAGTATAAAGTCAGAAACACCTATATTATCCTCAACAATGTTCTCTTGTGATACTTGTCCATACTTTATGAAAAAGTGCTTCTCCAACTTAATGAACATGGTACTGTAATAGTTATTATATGAAATGTTGATTAGTATTTCAATACATATTGACCTGAGCCTGGGAAGTAAGCCTCCAGATCCAACTTCTTAGCTGCAGCATTGTTAAGTTCTCCTGACACAATGTTGACCACACGATAAGCTAGACCCAACAGTTGACATAATTCCTCAGCATTTGTGATCATTTCTTCCATCATGATCCACGAAGCATTGTCATGAGGCGATGTGAGACAAAATTGCTCCACCTGAAATACAACACAAGCTGAGGTCAAACAAATATTATAATTTTTTACTAATACAATGTACCAATAAACTGTAGTACAAATATTGCATGAATAGTTAAAACCGTACACTGCATCTGTACATGTTGAAAGAGGTGACTCTACAATCCAATATTGGTTAATTTAACAAGCACAATGTGTTCAGACAGGTGGTAAGTAGCCAACAGATGTGAGAGATCCTGTCATTGTTCAACCAAAAAGCAACACCATTTAACAGAAATCTCTCCCTTCCAGATAATAAAAATGTGATGGGTGGGATGGAAGGTGGGAGGGGATGTCCCTGGATGATTGGAGGGAGGTGGGTAAAAAATAGGAATTTTGAGTTTTAGGGGTTTGAGAATGAATAAGTATTGTGCGAGCATGTTAAACTGGGTGGTTTTTAATGGACATGCTGTTGGAGTGTGAGCAAGATAACTACTATGAAGGGATTCAGAGAAACCAGTTAGACAGACTTGAGTCCTGGAGGTGAGAAGTACAATGCTTACACAATGAGGGAGGAGTGGGGATGTTGCAGTCAGAGGGTAATCTGATTTGTGATATCAGCACACTTCTGGAAAGATGGCAGTTGAATGAATGATAGTGAATGTACTTTCTTTGTTGGGTTACCCTGCCTTGGCAAGAGATGGTTTACCTGGAGTTTACCTGGAGAGAGTTCCGGGGGTCAACGCCCCCGCGGCCCGGTCTGTGACCAGGCCTCCTATGGTTGCTGAGGTAAAAACAAATAATAAAAATAATAATAGTAAATGATAATTATGTCTAGGTAGTAGGTTGGTAGACAACCACTTCCCAGGGAGGTGCTACTGTCTTGCCAAGCAAGTGTAAAACAAAAGCTTGTAATTGTTTTACATGATGATAGGAATGCTGGTGTCTTTTTTTCTGTCTCATAAACATGCAAGATTTCAGGTATGTCTTGCTACTTCTACTTGCACTTAGGTCACACTACACATACATGTACAAGCATATATATACACACCCCTCTGGGTTTTCTTCTATTTTCTTTCTAGTTCTTGTACTTGTTTATTTCCTCTTATCTCCATGGGGAAGTGGAACAGAATTCTTCCTCTGTAAGCCATGCGTGTTGTAAGAGGCGACTAAAATGCAGGGAGCAAGGGCCTAGCAACCCCTTCTCCTGTATAAATTACTAAATTTAAAAAGAGAAACTTTCGTTTTTCTTTTTGGGCCACCCTGCCTTGGTGGGATGCGGCCGGTTTGTTAAAAAAAAAACAAAAAAAAAAAAACATGCAAGATTTTAGGTACATCTTGTTACTTCTACTTACATTTAGGTCACACTACACATGCATGTACAATCGTATATACACACACCCCTCTGGGTTTTCTTATATTTTCTTACTAGTTCTTGTTCTTGTTTATTTCTACTTATCTCCATGGGGAAATGGAACAGAATTCTTCCTCCGTAAGCCATGCATGTCATAAGAGGCAACTAAAATGCCAGGAGCAAGGGGCTAGTAACCTGTTCTCCTGTATATATTACTAAATTTAGGAGGAGAAACTTTTTTTTTTTTTTGGGGGGGGGCCCACTCTGCCTCGGTGGGATATGGCCAGTGCGTTGAAAGAAGAAAGATAATTACAACGACAGTGACAACGACAATGGTGACATTGAAAATAAGAGAGAACTGACCTTCTGGAACTGGTGCACCCTGAAGATACCTCGGGTATCACGACCGTGAGAGCCCACTTCTTGGCGAAAACAGTAGGACAAACCTGCATATCTGAAACACCAAACAAAAAAAAAAAATTGAACATCTACTTCAAGTACCTATAATGCATCAATAAACATATTAATATCTTACAAATTTAACAACAGCAGTATCGTTACAATACTTATACATCTTTAAACATTAATATTTTACAATCGCCATCATTTTACAACTCCAAAATATATAATTAACATAATGTGCTTCAAATTAATAGTATCAGTAATATAACAGCCCATCCTCTTACGTTAGTATTTCACTGTTACTAAGACAGTGAAATACTGACTGACCGAGTGGATGACCAGGCCTCCAGATTAGCAACTATCACAAAGCATCTAGGCAAGTAAATGTAAGTTTATACTGAATATATGGAAGTTATGGTAATAGGTTGGTAGACAGCAACCACCCAGGGAGGTACTACCGTCCTGCCAAGTGAGTGTAAAACAAAAGCCTGTAATTGTTTTACATGATGGTAGGATTGCTGGTGTCTTTTGTCTGTCTCATAAATATACACGATTACAGGTATGTCTTGCTACTTCTACTTACACTTAGGTCACACTACACATACATGTACACATTTATTTACATACACTCATCTGAGTTTTCTTTGATTTTATCTTAATAGTTCTTGGTCTTATTACTTTTCCTTTTATATCCATGGGGAAGTGGAATAAGAATCTTTCCTCCATAAGCCATGCGTGTTGTAAAAGTCAACTAAAATGCCGGGAACAATGGGCTAGTAACCCTTTTTCCTGTAAAGATTACTAAAAAGAATAAGAAGAAGAAAATTGTCAAAGTGGGAAGCCTGAATGTGCGTGGATGTTGTGCAAATGATAAGAAAGAGATGATTGTGGATGTTATGAATGAGAAGAAGCTGGATGTCCTGGCTTTAAGTGAAACAAAGCTGAAGGGGGTGGGAGAGTTTCAGTGGAGAGGAATAAATGGGATTAGATCAGGGGTTTCAAATAGAGTTAGAGCTAGAGAAGGAGTAGCAATAATGTTGAAGGATAAGATATGGCAGGAAAAGAGGGACTATAAATGTATTAATTCAAGGATTATGTAGAGTAAAATAAAGGTTGGATGTGAAAAGTGGGTTATAGTAAGTGTATATGCACCTGGAGAAGAGAGAAGTGTAGAGGAGAGAGATAGAGATTTTGGGAAATGTTGAGTGAATGTGTGGGGAGTTTTGAACCAATTGTGAGAGTACTTGTGGTTGGGGATTTCAATGCTAAAGTGGGTAAAAATGCTGTGGAGGGAGTAGTAGGTAAATTTTGGGTGCCAGGGGTAAATGTAAATGGGGAGCCTTTAATTGAGCTATGTGTAGAAAGAGATTTGGTAATAAGTAATACATACTTTATGAAAAAGAGGATAAATAAATATACAAGGTATGATGTAGCACATAATGAAAGTAGTTTGTTAGATTATGTATTGGTGGATAAAAGGTTAATGGGTAGGCTCCAGGATGTACATGTTTATAGAGGGGCAACTGATATATCGGATCATTATTTAGTTGTAGCTACAGTTAGAGTAAGAGGTAGATGGGACAAGAGGAAGGTGGCAACAACAAGGAGGGAAGTGAAAGTGTATAAACTAAGGGAGGAGGAAGTTCGGGTGAGATATAAACGACTATTGGCAGAAAGGTGGGCTAGTGCAAAGATGAGTAGTGGGGAGGGGGGGTTGAAGAGGGTTGGATGAGTTTTAAAATGCAGTATTACAATGTAGGGCAGAAGTTTATGGTTATAGGGAGGGTGGGAGCAGGAGGAAAGAGGAGTGATTGGTGGAATGATGAAGTAAAGGGTGTGATAAAAGAGAAAAAGTTAGCTTATGAGAGGTTTTTACAAAGCAGAAGTGTTATAAGAAGAGCAGAGTATATGGAGAGTAAAAGAAAGGTGAAGAGAGTGGTGAGAGAGTGCAAAAAGGAGAGCAGATGATAGAATGGGAGAGGCACTGTCAAGAAATTTTTATGAAAATAAGAAAAAATTTAGGAGTTAAACAAGTTAAGAAAGCCTAGGGAATGTATGGATTTGTCAGTAAAAAACAGAGTAGGGGAGTTAGTAGATGGGGAGAGGGAGGTATTAGGTAGATGGCGAGAATATTTTGAGGAACTTTTAAATGTTGAGGAAGAAAGGGAGGCGGTAATTTCATGTACTGGCCAGGGAGGTATACCATCTTTTAGGAGTGAAGAAGAGCAGAATGTAAGTGTGGTGGAGGTACGTGAGGCATTACATAGAATGAAAGGGGGTAAAGCAGCTGGAACTGATGGGATCATGACAGAAATGTTAAAAGCAGGGGGGGATATAGTGTTGGAGTGGTTGGTACTTTTGTTTAATAAATATATGAAAGAGGGGAAGGTACCTAGGGATTGGCAGAGAGCATGTATAGTCCCTTTATATAAAGGGAAGGGAGACAAAAGGGATTGTAAAAATTATAGAGGAATAAGTTTACTGAGTATACCAGGAAAAGTGTACAGTAGGGTTATAATTGAAAGAATTAGAGGTAAGACAGAATGTAGGATTGCAGATGAGCAAGGAGGTTTCAGAGTGGGTAGAGGATGTGTAGATCAAGTGTTTACGTTGAAACATATATGTGAACAGTATTTCGATAAAGGTAGGGAAGTTTTTGTTGCATTTATGGATTTAAAAATGGCATATGATAGAGTGGATAGGGGAGCAATGTGGCAGATGTTGCAAGTATATGGAATATGTGGTAAGTTACTAAATGCTGTAAAGAGTTTTTATGAGGATAGTGAGGCTCAGGTTAGGGTGCGTAGAAGAGAGGGAGACTACTTCCCGGTAAAAGTAGGTCTTAGACAGGGATGTGTAATGCCACGATGGTTGTTTAATATATTTATAGATGGGGTTGTAAAAGAAGTAAATGCTAGGGTGTTCGGGAGAGGGGTGGGATTAAATTATGGGGAATCAAATACAAAATGAGAATTGACACAGTTACTTTTTGCTGATGATACTGTGCTTATGGGAGAGTCTAAAGAAAAATTGCAAAGGTTAGTGGGTGAGTTTGGGAGTGTGTGTAAAGGCAGAAAGTTGAAAGCGAACATAGAAAAGAGTAAGGTGATGAGGGTATCAAATGATTTAGATAAAGAAAAATTGGATATCAAATTGTGGAGGAGGAGCATGGAAGAAGTGAATGTTTTCAGATACTTGGGAGTTGACGTGTCGGCAGATGGATTTATGAAGGATGAGGTTAATCATAGAATTGATGAGGGGAAAAAAGGTGAGTGGTGCGTTGAGGTATATGTGGAGTCAAAAAATGTTATCTATGGAGGCAAAGAAGGGAATGTATGAAAGTACAGTAGTACCAACACTCTTATATGGGTGTGAAGCTTGGGTTGTGAATGCAGCAGTGAGGAGGCAGTGGAGATGTCCTGTCTAAGGGCAATGTGTGGTGTAAATTTTATGCAGAAAATTAGGAGTGTGGAAATTAGGAGAAGGTGTGGAGTTAATAAAAATATTAGTTAGAGGGCTGAAGAGTGGTTGTTGAGGTGGTTTGGCCATTTAGAGAGAATGGATCAAAGTAGAATGACATGGAGAGCATTTAAATCTGTAGGAGAAGGAAGGTGGGGTAGGGGTTGTCCTCGAAAAGGTTGGAAGGAAGGGGTAAGGGAGGTTTTGTGGGCGAGGGGCTTGGACTTCCAGAAGGCGTGCATGAGCGTGTTCGATAGGAGTGAATGAAGACGAATGGTATTTGGGACCTGACGATCTGTTGGAGTGTGAGCAGGGTAATATTTAGTGAAGGGATTCAGGGAAAACGGTTAATTTTATATAGCCAGACTTGAGTCCTGGAAATGGGAAGTACAATGCCTGCACTCTAAAGGAGGGGTTTCGGGATATTAAGTATTTTCTTTTTGTGGATTTTCTTTCTTTTTGGGTCACCCTGCCTCGGTGGGAGATGGACGACTTGTTGAAAAAAAAAAAATATATGGAAGTTTGTCAGATTTACCTGTCATCTTTCAAGTTCACGAGACAGAAAGAGAAGACAAGTAATCTTGTCTGAGTGTAAAAAAATTTAACAGGTTTCCATTTTATACTCAACTGAAAAGATGGTAGTACCTCCCTGGATGACTGTTGTTTACCAAACTAATAACTATTAGACTGGATAAATATATGAGTATGGGTCAATAAGACTACTCCAGTTCCCCTCTATAATTATCTTACAAATGCCTGGGATGAGGAGGACCCACCAAGTATAAGCCAGAATAATTACTACATAACATCAACATCCAGTACAATACTTTAATTCTCAAGTGTTGTCCTACTGACTCTCATAAACATCAAGATGCACTTACACATAAGATGTATAAAAAAAAAAAGGCAAGGATTCCAGGATTGTCTACCACAGAATATTGTAAGGAGGTGAGAAGGAAGATTTGAGAAGGATAAACAGGGACTGAACAAGGTGCTGAATGAACAGTAGGAAGACAAAAGGCTAGTGACTCACCCACTATGATGTGTAAGTTTAAGTGTTAATTAAAAGAACAAATGTGCAACATTTAATTGTGGCAATATTTCGCTCTCCAGGAGCTTTGTCAAGCAGTAACAGCTTGACAAAGCTCCTGGAGAGTGAAACATTGCCACAATTAAATGTTGCACATTTGTTCTTTTAATTAACATAATATCAGTAATTCTACCAACATTATTACAAGTTAAAGTGTGAATATCATAGATGAATTAATGAAAATGCATATATTAACGTAAAATGAAACATTTAACGTGTCCAAGAGTGATTATTATTATTATGTATTATTATTATTATTATTATTACTATGGCATCAAGTCTAAAGGACACTCTTAGTGATTTTAATGTGTATCTGCATACCAGCACAGTGTGTAAGTTTATTTAGGTACATGTACACAAAAGTATAATTATCAGAGTTTTACCTAGAGTTTACCTGGAGAGGGTTTCGGGGGTCAACGCCCCCACAGCTCGGTCTGATACCAGGCCACACAGTGGATCAGGGTCTGATCAACCAGGCTGTTACTACTGGCCGCACGCAAGCTGACGTACGAACCACAGCCTGGTTGGCCAGGTACTGACTTTAGGTGCCTGTCCAGTGCCTTAACCCTTTCAGGGTTTCCGACATACTAGTATGGCTTACGCACCGTGGTTATTGACGTACTAGAACACCTAAATTCGAGAGCCTTCAAATCTAGTGAGAGAGAGCTGGTAGGCCTACATATGAAAGAATGGGTCTGTGTGGTCAGTGTACATAGTATAAAAAAATCCTGCAGCACACAGTGCATAATGAGAAAAAAAAAACTCCGACTGTGTTTTTGGTTCAAAACAGCAAATTTGCAGTGTATTTTCATAAGGTATTTATGGTTGTATTCTAGGTTTCCTGGTCTCAGTTTATAGAATGGAAGACATATTACAGAAATTGAGATGATTTTGATTGGTTCCATAACGAAAAGTATCTTGAAATTGAGCTCAAAGTAGCACAAATGTTCGATTTTTACCAAATTTCAAAAGTAAACAAATCATGCCAAGCGTCTAATACACGTCAACTGGCGAGTCTAATATTCTTTCACAAGTGCACTGATCAGGTACATCTTGCTACTTCTACTTACACTTAGGTCACACTACACATACGTGTTTTTTTTTTTTTTTTTTTTTTCAACAAGTCGGTCGTCTCCCACCGAGGCAGGGTGACCCAAAAAAAGAAAGAAAATCCCCAAAAAGAAAATACTTTCATCATCATTCAACACTTTCACCACACTCACACATTATCACTGCTTTTGCAGAGGTGCTCAGAATACAACAGCTTAGAAGCATATACGTATAAAGATACACAACATATCCCTCCAAACTGCCAATACATGTACAAGCATATATATACACACACCCCTTTGGGTTTTCTTCTATTTTCTTTCTAGTTCTTGTTCTTGTTTATTTCCTCTTACCTCCATGGGGAAGTGGAACAGAATTCTTCCTCCGTAAGCCATGCGTGTTGTAAGAGGTGACTAAAATGCCGGGAGCAAGGGGCTAGTAAGCCCTACTCCTGTATATATTACTAAATGTAAAAGGAGAAACTTTCGTTTTTCCTTTTGGGCCACCCCGCCTCGGTGGGATACGGCCGGTGTGTTGAAAGAAAGAAATAAGTGCACTGATATTATTTATACCATTTCTACACTAATGCAGTAGTCTGCATAACAGTAAATCTTCTATTTTTTGTGAGAATAAAAATTCAAAGTGGAAAGCAAAAGAGATGTAAGAGGGGCCTGGGGACATGACTAATGAACAGAGAAAACGTTATTTTAGTGCCAGGAATGTCTGTCTTGCTTATTCTGGAGCCTATTTGGAAATTGGCATCTTCTGAAATTTGTGTGAACTTGGCAAAATTGCCAATTTCTGACCACTTTATTGGATACTTTATATCGGTAAATGGGTGGTTTCTTGTACTTATTCAATAGAAAAGATGTAGTTCTAGCAAAATAGATATGATTTTTGTCAACTAGTACACTGAAATTGGCCGAAAATAAGACTCAAAGTGGGTGAAATCGCCGATGCGTAAACATCACCGAGACCGTTAACTTCACTAGAGCATAATTCCATGAGTTTTCCATCAAATTTCACACTTTTGGAGTCATTATGATCGGGAAAAGATTCTCTATCATTTTATAAGAAAAAATAATTTTTTTTTTCCAAAAATTTTTCGACCCTGAGAACGAGTTTAGGAGAGGGGCCTCTCAACCCTGAAAGGGTTAAAGACAGCCAGGGGTCTATTGGTAATCCCCCTTACGTAGGCTGGGAGGCAGCTGAACAGTCATGGACCCTGGACACTTATTGTGTTGTCTCTCAATGTACTCGTTGCGCCCCTGCTTTTCATTGGGGGAAGGTTGCATCTCCTGCCGAGTCTTTTGCTTTCATAGGGAGTGATTTTCGTGTGCAGGTTTGGTATCAATCCCTCCAGGACCTTCCAAGTGTATATTATCATGCATCTCTCTCGTCTGCATTCCAGGGAAAACAGATCAAGGACCTTCAACTGTTCCCAGTAATTTAGGTGCCTTATCGTACTTATATATGCCGTGAAAGTTCTTTGTACACTCTCCAGGTCTGCAATGTCGCCAGCCTTGAAGGGGGCTGTTAGTGTACAGAAGTATTCCAGCCTAGAGAGCACAAGCAATTTGAGAGAATCATCATGGGCTTGGCATCCCTAGTTTTGAAGGTTCTCATTATCCATCCTACCATTTTCCTAGCAGATGAGGTAGATACATTGTTGTGGTCTTTGAAGGCGAGGTCCTCTGACATTATCACTCCCAGGTCCCTCGCATTACTTTTCCGCTCTACTGTATGCATATAAAATATGCAATAACTTTAAAATAACTTAAATTTTGGAAAGTTTTCAGACATAATGGAGAGATATGCTCATGGAGAATGTAAACAAACTGGGTGGCTCACAGTGACTATATTATAATGAAAGTCAGATAGGGGGGGGAGCCGTATAGCGAGTTTTGGTCATAATTTGAAATGTCTGTATTAGAAGAATGCCCTAAGGCAAAATGCCATAAAGCGGGGCCCTACTGTGCTTATTCATGAAGAAAAAATAAGAACCTTTTACCAGAAATTTGAGGTAAAGTTATAAATGGAATCAACTGTACTTGAATACTGTATGAACAGTATGATCTACACAATAATAACAGGAAATATTAAGAAAATATAAGATAATAGCTTTGTAGTGACCTGATTGGCAGTTGGTCAGTAGGTATCCACTCATCACGGTGGAAAGCAGCAATTGGTTGTTCTGATGTAGCAATGAGATACTTCTCATCTACTTGTTCACTACCTGGAACATTACCTTTACCCAGGACCTAGAGAGAAAAAATGAGGATTAATATAGGGCATTTCAAAAATATGGACCCAATCTGAAATTCAACTATCATTGAAATTGGGTCCATATTTTTAAAACACCCTGGATATTTCTTAGAATGAGTACATTTGAATCTTTTCTCAAAAGGAAAAAAAAAAAATTCAAAATGGGATTACACACAGGATCAAAAATATGATTGACAAATACCTAGACTTATATATCTCCCATTCTCAAAAAATATATAAGTGAACATAGGAAAGAAGAAGGTAATGAGAGTAACAAAAAAGCCTAGACAATGAAAGACTGGATACCAGACTTTTGAGAGGGAGTATGGAGAAAGCTAATGTATTCATAGATTATAGTGGATAATGTATGAGGGTAAAAGGGTAAGTGGTGTGTTGAGGCATCTTTTTTTCTATTTTCAACACGTTGGCCATCTTCCACCAAGGCACGGCAACACCAAACAGAAAGAAACACTTTCACAATCATTCACATATAATCACTGTCTTTGCAGAGGCACTCAGATACAACAGTTCAGATGTCACTTCCAACAGCAAATACAGGTGGCCCTCAACATTCGCGAGCTCAACTTTCGCAAGCTTTGAACATTCGCGAATGCCTAGCCGCCCAAACAACCTCAAGCCCTGACCCTTGAAAAACTAGGGCAAGCAATGAGAATGATAGCACAGCTCAAACAATTTTTTTACGACATAGACCCATCGATACTGAGGGCTTTGAAGGTGATGAACGACATTGATAGGAGCATAATTCCCTACAAAACTCTGTTTGTTAATCTGAAGAGGAAACAGTCTCAGTTACCCATCACAATGTTCTTCACAAGGAAGCCTGCCACTGCTCCCGTTGCTAACTCTGACTCTAGCGATGTCGATGACCCACCGCCTATTATTGGCAGGGACGCTGGCAGTGAAGAGTTAGAATCCACACACTAGACTCATCATGCCATGCAGTTACACTCCATATAATCACCTCCATTTAACTGTCATCAATAACTGCATGGCTAACTATCATCACCATTATCATCGTCATTGTCATCATCATCACAAGTCATCGGAGTTTGTCTGCCTAACCGTACAAGTGGTGAGTGTTCTGTTTGTTCATTATTTATTATTAAACCATAATATGTATGAATATACAATACATGTAAGTATTTCACGATGTTTTCATGTGTTTTATGATTGTTCAATTGGTTAAGGAAGCAGTATTGTTAGGCTAAGTAAATGCTATTATTATATTTCTCTACAATATATTTGTGCACCAACATTCGCGAATTTTCAACATTCACGAGGTTCTTGATCCCCTAACCCTCATGAATATGGAGGGCCACCTGTATCCCAAACCACTCCTTTAAAGTGCAGGTACTGTACTTCCCACCTCTAGGACTCAAGTCCAGCTAACTGGTTTATCTATGGATACAAAATAAGGAAATTGTACTAAAGTGTAGCTGTATCAACACTGTTGTATAGCTTTTTTTTTTTCAACAAGTTAGCCGTCTCCCACCGAAGCAGGGTGACCCAAAAAGAAAGAAAATCCCCAAAAAGAAAATACTTTCATCATCATTCAACACTTTTACCTCACTCATACATAATCACTGCTTTTGCAGAGGTACCCAAAATACAACAGTTTAGAAGCATATGTATAAAGATATACAGCATATCCCCCAAAAGTGCCAATATCCCAAACCCCTCCTTTAAAGTGCAGGCATTGTACTTCCCATTTCCAGTACTCAAGTCCGGCTATATAAAAACAACCAATTTCCCCGAATCCCTTCACTAAATATTACCCTGCTCACACTCCAATAGCTCGTCAGGTCCCAAATACCATTCGTCTCCATTCACTCCTATCTAATTCGCTAATGCATGCTTGCTGGAAGTCCAAGCCCCTTGCCCACAAAACCTCCTTTATCCCTTCTCTCCATCCTTTTCGAGGATGATCCCTACCCTGCCTTCCTTCCCCTACAGATTTATATGCTCTCCATGTCATTCTACACACCCTAACCTGAGCCTCACTATCCTCATAAAAACTCTTTACAGCATTTAGTAGCTTACTACCTATTCCATATACTTGCAACATCTGCCACATTGCTCCCCTATCCATAAATGCAATGAAAACTTCCCTACCTTTATCTAAATACTGTTCACATATATGCTTCAATGTAAACACTTGTTCTACAAATCCCCTACCCACTCTAAAACCTCCTTGCTCATCCGCAATCCTACATTCTGTCTTGCCTCTAATTCTTTCAATAATAACCCTACCGTACACTTTTCCTGGTATACTCAGTAAACTTAAGATAAGATAAGATTTCGTTCGGATTTTTAACCCAGGAGGGTTAGCCACCCAGGATAACCCAAGAAAGTCGGTGCGTCATCGAGGACTGTCTAACTTATTTCCATTGGGGTCCTTAATCTTGTCCCCCAGGATGCGACCCACACCAGTCGACTAACACCCAGGTACTTATTTGCTGCTAGGTGAACAGGACAACAGGTGTAAGGAAACGTGTCGAATGTTTCCACCTGCCGGGAATCGAACCCGGGCCCTCCGTGTGTGAAGCAGGAGCTTTAGCCCCCCTTCCCATTATATATACAGGAACTGTACATGTTGTCTGCCAATTCCTAGGTACCTTCCCCTCTTTCATACATTTATTAAACAAAAATACCAACTGCTCCAATGCTCTATCCCCCCCTGCTTTTAACATTTCTGTCATGATCCTATCAGTTCCAGCTGCTTTACCCCCTTTCATTCTACATAATGCCTCATTGCATTTTTAAAACTATTCCAACCCTCTTCAACCCCCTCCCCCCCACTACTCATACTTGCACTAGCCCACCTTTCTGCCAATAGTTGCTTATATATCACCCGAACTTCCTCTTCCCTTAGTTTATACACTTTCACCTCTCTCTCACTTGTTGCTATTTTCCTTATGTCCCACCTACCAACTCAATAATGATCTGATATATCAGTTGCCCCTCTATAAACATGTACATCCTGAAGTCTACCCATTAACTTTTTGTAAAGTAAAAGGACACAAGTACAACTAATGTGACATTTTACTGTGGCAACATTTCGCTCTCCAGGAGCTTTGTCAAGCTGGCTTGACAAAGCTCCTGGAGAGCGAAATGTTGCCACAATAAAATGTCACATTAGTTGTACTTGTGTCATTTTACTTTACATATTGTCGGTAATTCTACCAACTTTATCACATCACCTTTTATCCACCAATACATAATCTAAGAAACTACTTTCATTACGTGCTATATCATACCTTGTATATTTATTTATTCTCTTTTTCATAAAATATGTATTACTTATTACCAAATCTCTTTCTACACATAGCTCAATTAAAGGCTCCCCATTTTCATATACCCCTGGCACCCAAAATTTACCTACTACTCCCTCCACAGCATTTTTACCCACTTTTAGCATTGAAATCCCCAACCACAAGTACTCACACACTTGGTTCAAAACTCCCCATGCACTCACTCAACATTTCCCAAAATCTCTCTCTCTCCTCTGCACTTCTCTCTTCTCCAGGTGCATATACACTTACTATAACCCACTTTTCATATCCATCCTTTATTTTACTCCACATAATCCTTGAATTAATACATTTATACTCCCTCTTTTCCTGCCATAGCTTATCCTTCAACAGTATTGCTACTCCTTCTTTAGCTCTAACTCTATTCGAAACCCCTGACCTAATCCCATTTACTTCTCCCCACTGAAACTCTCCCACCCCCTTCAGCTTTGTTTCACTTAAAGCCAGGACATCCAGCTTCTTCTCATTCATAACATCCACAATCCTCTCTTTCTTATCATTTGCACAACATCCACACACATTCAGACTTCCCACTTTGACAATTTTATTCTTTTTCTTTTTAGTAGGCTTAAAGAGGTTACTAGCCCATTGTTCCCAGCATTTTAGTTGATTTTTACAACATGAATGGCTTACAGAGGAAAGATTCTTGTTCCACTTCCCCATGGATATAAAAGAAAAAGTAACAAGACCAAGAACTATTAAGATAAAATCAAAGAAAACTCAGATGAGTGTGTATAAATAAACATGTACATGTATGTGTAGTGTGACCTAAGTGTAAGTAGAAGTAGCAAGATGTACCTGCAATCTTGCATGTTTATGAGACAGACAAAAGACACCAGCAATCCTACCATCATGTAAAACAATTACAGGTTCCCATTTTACACTCACTTGGCAGGCCAGTAGTACCTCTCTGGGTGGCTGCTGTCTACCAACCTGTGAGATTTAAATGTTGAAGTAAGGAGGAGGCTGGAGGCAGTAGAAATGTCATGTTTGAGAGCAATGTATGGTGTGAATATTATGTAAAGAATTCTGAGCTTGGATATTAGACAGTATGGGGTAACAGAAGGTATTATTCAGAGGGCAGAAGAGGGGTTGTTAAGGTGGTCTGGTAATTTAGCAAGAATGATGCAGGCCAGCTCCTGTATGCAGGGCCGGCCTGACTGCTCCTAATTGGGCCCCACACCTAAGGAACCCCCTGTGCTAGAGTGTAACAGAAGTTTAAACTTTAACAAAACTCTAAAAGACTTTGCAGAGAAAAAAGCAAGAAAAATAACTTTCTCCTAATAAAAGGCAATAATAATATGACTTATTTATAGTTTATGAATATTAAGTGATTTTTAGAAGTCCAAAAAAGATAATTTTTTTCCAATAGTGCATTTAAATTCTGATTTTTTTTTTCTGAACAAAAGTAAATTAACATTTTTAATAAATTATTTCACAATCACTAAAGCAAGTGGTATTGTGACTATGTACTTTTCAGAGGTGATATACAAATTTTGTTTGTTACTTGTTGGCTTACATGGATGCAATTTTACATTAAAATGTAGCTTACATCTGTTTGGTCTATTAACTCGCATGGATTTTTTAAGTACACAGTTTGATTGCTTTCCATATGTGGGGCCCACCAAAATTGTTCTCAATTGGGCCCTGCACCTCCTAAGGCTGATTCTGCCTGCATGTTAACAGTAAAACACTGGTGGCAGCTCCTGCATGTTGACACTAAAACACTGGTAGCAGCTCCTGCATGTTGACATTAAAAACACTGGTGGCAGCTCCTGCATGTTGACACTAAAACACTGGTAGCAGCTCCTGCATGTTGACATTAAAACACTGGTGGCAGCTCCTGCATGTTGACACTAAAACACTGGTAGCAGCTCCTGCATGTTGACATTAAAACACTGGTAGCAGCTCCTGCATGTTGACATTAAAACACTGTAGCAGCTCCTGCATGTTGACATTAAAACACTGGTGGCAGCTCCTGCATGTTGACATTAAAACAGTGGTGGCAGCTCCTACATGTTGACACAGTTTATAACAAAGAGTAATGGCAACTTAACTTGTAGAGTTCTTCATCAAACTGGGAGAGCTGAGCCACCTCCTGCATAACTTCCTTGCGCATGAAGAATGGTGTGACGATGGGAGTGTAACCCTTCTTGTGAAGTAGGTTCAGGGATAGTTCAATTAGTGCACGCTCCAGGAACACTGCTGGACCCATCAAGTAGTATCCACGACCACCTGTTGATGCTCATTACATTAATGACATAAAATATAATACTAAATACAAAAGTCTCTATGACATACCCCATGTGCAGCTTAATCTCTGTAAAAACTAAATGTGCACAAAAATACTCAAAATCTGCAACTCCCTGCCAGATATCTCCAGAGCCTCTCTCTCTACCAACATCTTCAAAACTCCCAAAAAAAAAAAAACACTTTTTTTCACTAACTTACCCAACAAGAGCAAAAATTTTTGATGAAACAATTCACAATTCTCACTCCACAAGCAAAAAAGAAAAATACATTCTTACTCCATTAGCTGTAATACCACAACCATTAAATATACTGAAGTTTCAAAAATATGTTAATTACCTGAAATCAAAGCCCCCTGTAATCCTTAAAACAATAACCCCTTTTCAGGACCAAGCCAAAATCTGAAGTGGTGTTTCCATTGTCCAAGAAATTTTAAAAAAAAAAAAAATTATTTTTTCTTACAGAATAACCCTTTGACTGTTTCGGGCCCCTCTAAAACTGTCATTCATGTCCCAATTTTTGAAAAAAAAAAAATTTTTTTCTTATAAATGTAGAGAATCTTTTCCCGATGGAAATGACCCCAAAAGGGTTCAAAATTTGGTTAAAACCGTGAAAAAATCTCCGCAAGTTAGGGGTCGCGACTTTGCTTGGGCGATTTCCCCGACATGAGCCCTTTTTTCAGCCAATTCCATTGTTCCATTTTGACCAAACTCAACTATTTTTTTAGAACTCCATTTTACTATCAGCAGTACAAAAAAACCTCCCATTTACAAATTTTGGACTACCCAAATGGGGGTCAAAAAATTTGGCAATTTGGCCCAAATTTTTCACACAAATAAAAAAGACCCAAATTTAAAAAAGGGGCCAAATAAAAAAGTTAGACATTCGGGCACTAAAAAAACAATCTCTGTTCATATCACATCTCAAAGCCCCTTTTATATTATTTTGCTTTCATTTTGATTTTTTTTCTACAAAAAAAAAAAAAATTTCTGTAATGCAGACGACTGCATTATTGTAAAAATGTTATAAATAATATCAGTGCACTAGTAAAAGAATATAAGCTCCCCATTGACTTTTGGACGTGGGGTGATTTATTCTCTTGAACTTGGTAAAAACGAACATTCCGCTACTTTGAGCTCATTTAAAGGGTCTTTTTCACTAAAAGAATGAAAATCTCTCTATTTCTGTAATTTTTTCCTTTTATCACCAAGACCATAAAACGCGAATAAAAACGATAAATACTATACAAAAATACCCCCTCAAAGTCGGCGTTTATTCCAAAAAAACATCATTTTTTTTTTTTCCTCATTACGCAATGTGTGCTGCGGGGATTTTTTTATGGGGTGCACACGACCAACAGCCCCTTTCTCCACAGGGGGCCTCCCCACTTTCTCCCACTTGATTTGAAGCCCCTAGAATTATTTGAGTATTAACTCAAAACTTTGGCTCGTAAGACGTATTTATACGTCGAAAACAGTCAAAGGTTAAAGAGCAATTTTTAAAAAGGGTAATAAACAAAAAAAAAATCTGATCAGTACTTCCCGAGATACAGGCCAAGAATTTGTCAAAAAATGAGTGGGGCGGCAACATCGACGAATTCCACATACCGCATTAAAATTTTTTTTGTGGTTTTTTGTTTTTTTTCTTTTTTTTTTTTCCAATTTTTTTCTTTTCCACAACATTTGGGGCCTGAGAGACCAATACTGTATAAAAGTATATATATAAACCACTGAAATTGAACACATAACTGCACAAAATTTATTATCATATTTTTGTTTACCATTTTGTTTATTACAATAAACATGCACAAATCTTTATAATACTAATGTTCATCATACTTTACATTTTTACAATCACTGGACAGGGTTTTAAAACTGCGGATTTGTGGAACCCCTTTTAAAAAAGGGCACCAGCACAGAGGCACCTTACATTCCCACACAAAACCGAGTGTTTTTGGTCTTTGTTGCCGTCATTTTTTTTGTGCACAACAATCATCTTTTCTGAAAAATTTCTTCTGATTAAAGGGAAGCTGTTTATAAATATCACCTTCCCCTCAAATGCTTGGTAACCCTGAGGAATTCGAGGACCATTTGTATACGGGTGTTGTTACCGGGTACTTCAAAAATTTGTCTGACAAAACAAAAAAAATTCACCATAGGGTGGCTTTGCCTCTTTATTTGGTACATAATATATGCATTGAGCTTTGAATCTCCTGAGAGGAAAAAAGTTTCAGTCCACTTGAAACTCTTACAAACACAGTCAACAAACCAATCCATGTCACACTGTCAACCAAGCGCTGTTTGTGTAAAAACAATCACACTGGTTTACGAATACGTCATTATCACCGATAAATTTTTGGCCACTGTCTTGCATTTCATACGGTGAATGGTGCCCAACAATGGAATCTCGTTTGTCAGCCACGTAATGCCATGAAGTCATTGCAGAAAACCTCACATCCAGAGAACAAGCAAGAAAAATAGCTTTTCTAATAAAAGCTATAATATGACTATAATCTTAGATATTAAGTGATTTTAGAAGTCCAAAAAAGATATTTTTTACCAATAGGGATTAAATTCTGATTTTTTTTTTTCTGAAAAAGTAAATTAACATGTTTCTAATAATTATATCACCAATCAACTAAATGCAATGGTATTGTGACTATACTTTTCAGAGTGATAAACAAATTTTGTGTACTGTCGCTTACAGGAGCAATTTTACAGTTTAATGTACCTACATTGTTTGGTCTCTTAACTCGCAGATTTTTTGACAGTACACCTTTGATAATTTCCAATATTGGGGCCCATTCCCAAATTGTTGCAATTGGGCTGCACTCAAGGTCTTGTTTTGCTACATGTAACATTAAAACATGTACCTGCTCCTGCATGTCGGCACTAATCGGGTAGAGACTCTGCATTGAAATAAAAACACTGTTGCACTGATGTTGACACTAAACCGGGGTAGACTCTGCCATTGTTGACCATTAAACCCTTGAGCTCCTGATGTTGAGACATAAGCATGTTGCAGCGCATATACATTAAAACACTCGTGTCAGCTCTGTGTGTGACTTTAAAAAACTGTGTAAGCTCTTGCATGTGACATTAAAAACACTGTGACTCCGCATGTTAATCCTTAAAACGTGGTGAGCTCCTACAGTTGACACAGTTTTACCAAAGGTAAGGGAAACAAGCTGTAGAAAGTTCTTCATCAAACTGGAGAGCTGAGCCCTCTGACAAAATTTTGGGCATGCAAATCTACGATGGAGGGGTAACCTTGCTTTAAGGGGTTGCAGGGATGGTTATTAGTGCAGGCTCGAGGCACTGCTGGCCCTCAAGTCGTAGTCCATGCCCTGACCTGTTGATGCTCGTCATTAATGACGATAATGGTCCTACTACATCACCTCTATGACTACCACAGTGCACTGAATCTCTGTAAAACTAATGTGCAACAAAAGCTCAAAATCTGCAACCCTGCCAGATAACTCGAGTTTCTCCACCGAACTTCAAACACTCCCTAAAAAAAAAACACTTCCGCAATGCGGCAACATACAGCTTAAACTATGAATGATTCACTTTTCACATATCTTCATCCGAGCACAATAAAAAAATTCACTTCCTATTCTCATTACTGAAAGTCAGAGCTGCCATAAAAATATGATGTGTTCAAAATATGTAATTACCGACCGTGAGCAACCGTATCCAAACCAAGTAAACTTTGAGGGATCGTCAGGGCCAAAATCTGAATGGTGCTCATATCCATGAAATCTTTGGAAATAAAAAAAAACTAATTTCAAACCGAATAAATGATCTATTTTCAAAGGTATAAGAGAAAAAATAAAAAGGAGTCGCCCTTTTCCGGAGATACAGTTCAAGAAGTATTGGTCAAATGAAGTGGAGGGGGCGACCACGAATCACATGCGCGCTTTCATTTTTTGTTTGATCTCTCCTTTTCCATTTCTATCTCAACATTTGGGGCTGATAGACACGTAAAATTATGGTAGATCTACAGTTTGACACTCACTGAATTGACACAATAATGGACAGAATAAAGGTTAAATATTAACAGTTGTTAACATAAATTCCATCAAATTATTGTATAATACAAACTTAGATCTATATAACAATAATTTTATCATGGACAGTTTTAAAATGCGGGCTTGTGGAATCCTTAAAATTACCCATGCACGTCACCTATAACATTCCTCCACATAAACCGAAATGTCTTTGCCTTCTTTGTGCCAAACTTTTTTGCAGGACAAAATCTAATCTTTGCTTTGTCTGAGTGAAGGAACCCTGTATTTGAAATTTCACCTACTCTCCTCAAATTAATATGTCCAAGGATTCTATTTAGAACCATGTAGTTAAGCAAAATTAACCTGGTAGACTTCATTATAAGTTGTCTGACAACAGTACAAGACAAAATTACTACAATAGGTACGTTGCCAGTCTTAAATTGGGACATACTGTATCATTCAGCATTGAAATGTCACATAAATGGCAAAGAAAAGTCATGCCTACATGTCAACGACGAAAGTCACAAAACCAGTCTGCATGCACACTTGAAAGGATAGCGATGTTTTGTGTATAAGTCAATGTGACATGGTTTGGTAATTAGTTCAGTAGTCACTATCAATTTAGCCACTGTATTAGCATTTCATTGACCCCCGGTTAAGTTTAAATGGAAAAGTTTGTATGCCCGTAAATCCTATGTCTTTGGGCAATTTACCCCTGCACGATCAATAACAAATAACCTGCGTTGACCCAAGGATTGTTTACGATTAAAAGCACTGTGAACACATTGACATATTCACTTTTCCATAAATCACTGAAAAAGGCTTGCCCACTTATCGGACTTATAATTATGCCCTTACAAGAAGGTGCATCATGTTAGAGCACTGACATACCTATAGATGAACCTTCCATAGTTTAGGTACGTCTTATCAAATTCACACCCTTTTTTTTTATCAACTAGGGTACAGCATTTCAAGT